CTCAGAGGCTTGAGCCTCGAATTAGTCACTAAGACGCAGGGTAGGGCCAATAACGCCTTGGGTGGCACAGATGGGGTGGCAGGGGTCGAGTGAAATACGTGAACCAGGGAGAGGGCAGACGGATCTCACGGGGCAAGAGAGAGACTGTGCTAAGACCTAAGGAAGGAGGACTGCGTAACAATATGGCAGACTCTGATCAATATTCTCAGCACAAGGATGAAGGTGCGTGAGAATGCCAGCGTGGAATGCGGAGGGTTCGCATGAAAGCCGCTAAAAAAAGGTCACACTGTACCACATTTAATTAAGCAAGTAAAACTTGTTACGGCGACGGCGTGATAGTAGGATATAGGAAATGTGAATAGGCCAGGACAGAATAGGAGATACCATAACTGTTTAGCACACGTTTGGTCAAAGGATCGGATTTACTTGTCTCTGACGCGTTTTATTATGGTGCTACGAATGATAAAACTTACTGACGATTCCGGCGAAACGTCTGGGAATGAACCACGTCCACAGTCCGACTTTGGAAATGAGTATCCATACAATGGACTCGGGACAAGGTGCGTTCCTCTGAGTCTAATTTGGGAAAAAGTTGCGAAAACAAGATCAAACAACTTCTATACAACGAAAGGAGACTGCGACCACACAAAAGGCTACGCCATCTTGGTCTTCATATCTTCGAATAAGATATAAGATTTGGACTTAATTCAGATTCTTCTAAGCTTTTCAGACGATAATTAAGAAGCAGAATCATATACCGCAAGCGGAGCGACAGGTATTTCTCATTGTAGTTGAGCTGAGTCTAACTAATAAGTCTTATAAGATAACAAGATGTACTTGATCCGTAAGAGGTGAAATGTACACTTGGGATGTATATGTACGCCAACTCATAATGAAATTGATTTTTCTCATACTGAACATTTTCATAGCACTAAACTTATCATAAACTTCAGTGATTTATTCAATTATAAAAACTATTATCAGATAAACAAAAAGAACTTAGTTTTTATAGACCAAATGACACTCTGATAAGACTTCTATATTTGGCGTTTGTCTTTGAAATTATCCACCATAGCTTTAATAACGCCTAATCTATTTTATAATAACACTCCTCGATATATTCCTCTTTACTGGTGCTAAACTATCATTTCGCGGAAGTTTTGGGCTGATCGAGCTCCACAGATAACTTCCAGACAATGCTTTCTTGAGGGAGGGAGTTATGTAGCAGTCGATCTTGGTTCCGTGCTTTTACAACTCTATGATTAGTATATCTAATATGCTATTCACCAGGATGGATACAAGCTCAATACTATACCCTCCTATCTGGTTTGCATCTGCGTGTCTGGAAGTCGACTATCCGTCCTTTTAGCACATGCCAGTCTATGCTCTATACGAGAACTTATTCCACCCTCCGTAGGCTGAGCCGCACATAATCTAGACAGTTGGAGCAGAGTGTAAGTGCAATTATACAAGTTGAAAGGATACAAGGTATAATTGATTCGGCGTGATGTAGCTACGTCTGATCAATGATCGGCCTTTCGCGGTGTTCACAATCTCTGTTTAGACCAAGGCCTGAAAAGTGCTTAATTGAGTGTCCAACGATGCAAAGCTTGAAGCACTCCGTCCGTTTCTCTTTGGTAGAGTATCAGAAAAATAATCTTTGTCCGAATGCTCGAGCTT